GTATTAAATGTTTAATTTTTTGCAATAAAAGTCACAACAAATTTAAAAAAAAAAAAACTTTAGTGGATTTTTGTCTTTCTGTTTGTGTATGGTTTGTATGTACTATATTTTTTTCAATGGCTCTATTTATTTAGGTTATCAGTATTTTATTTTCAATGTGGCATGACTTAGTTGCCTTGAAACCAAACTCCCTTCACAGATCACATGTATTTGCTCCCTTTCAATCATTACGTCTGTACTTAAATGAAGAAATGATACCGTACAAACAATAGTTAACTGTACGGGTACCAACGAGGAAGGTGAGAAAGTAAAAGGAGACAAATGGCAATGGAATGATGTGACCTAATTGAATGAGTTTATTGGCTGCCTACTCCATACTGGCCCCTAATTTATTTTATGGATCACTTGAGTACACAACTCAAATAACTAACAACCAAACAAAAATGTTCTCAAGTCAGTTAAGGGTTTTTTTTTCTATTAAATTATGTACCAGTGTGTCAGACCCAGTAGACAGATATGGTAAAAAAAAAAGACCAGTCTTCCAATCTCATACTTTATACAATGGCATCCTTTAACTTTAAGATGTTCATTGCAACTATCTTGTGAATTAGGTCAAGTCAAATGAGAAAGGTTGTTGAAAGGAGATTCTAGTTCTAGGTATCAGGAAAAACAGATAGTGTCCGCATGTATGACTCCCAGTGCCAAGGAAAAGGTTTAAAATTGGTGGCTTTGTTCTGACTAAGTCTAAGCCAAGCTCTCTAGAGGAATAGTTGAAATTAATTCATTATGAAGGAAATTTTCATTATTTAGAATACCTAATTAATTCATAAAGTAATGTGTGATTAAATCTTTTAACTTGAACAATACACATAAATAATCTTAAATAAAGGATTTAATTTTAATAATTAAATTAATATAATTACTTTTCTAAAATTCAAATGAAAAGAATAAATGTATCTAAATCATCTTCATTACTAGATTTAAAAAAAAAAAAAATTGATCTACGAAAATGGCTTAAACTAAAAAACGAAAATAAGAAAGAAAAAAATCCATTAAAAAAATATATAATGTAAATTTCATTTATACTTATTCAATTTTTTTTGTTTATTTGTTATACTACTTTTTAATACTTATGAAGGCATGTGCCGTAACGTTTATTTGTGTTTTATCTAAAGCTATTATTGAAGTTTACCATTTATTGTTATGTTGACACAACTTGTTCGTGCCTAATTAATCTATTTTAGCATACCCTATAAGTTATAGATCTAAGCCCTATTAATAAAACATCCGGTCTTTGCGGTGAAGATCCCAGGCTCCGGATTGTGTTTACATTTTACATCAGTGGTACTACCACTGACTTGAGTTAGCACGAAATGATAATTCGTGTAATATTATAATATTCGGTTAAAAAGTCATCCTTTTTTTTTTAAATATTCTTGCCAGGGGTTATTTTTTTAGAAACATAAATGCCTGTTCCAATACAGACAAACATCCGTAAACACAAATTTGCTCAAAATAGATTATGGGACTCTGCGTTGGTCTAGCATAATTTCTAATGTAACGTCAGCGACTTAAATTAAGCCCATGGGCCATGGGAATTCCCCAAATGAACTCTTACAATCATTGCTCCGAATCCAACTACAATCTTTGATTACGGTACTTTTTAACTTTTCTTTTGCTTTATAAAAACTTCGACTCAGAATCAATAGCCTAGTTGGAATTAAGTATTAAGAGATGAGATTTTGTTGTGTGCCCACCTCTTACCCAGATTGATGGTGCTCCTTACAGACTCCGGCCAAAATCACAACTATAAGGAAGAGCCCAATGACTCTCGATTACAACTCCCAAAGGGAATTTAAAATAATTCGTCTTTAGTGAAAAAAAATATACTCAGAATCATCGGGAATTTCCAGTCTTAAATGTTGGCATCCCCCGGCCCCAATAATAAGATATATTCTAATATATATTTGGAGATTAATTGAACTATTAGAGTTTTTTTCTAAAGATGCCTGAAGTAACGGTGACAGTCACGGGTATTTTAATACTATAGCGAAAACTGTTGATGGCAGAAATACACGGTATGTACAAGGTGGCTCAACATTATTTATAAGAAAATAATTAAAACAGGACTGGCCTTAGCCTGGCCTTAGGCTTAAGTAACTTAGGTACAGAACGAACAGGCAAAGCAGGCTACTGCCTAAAGTTAGAGCACTAGAGTCTAGGCCTAGGGACATCATTTTAATTCCAAATTAAAAAATAATAATTTAATAATATTAAATTCACGGAAGATAAGCTTTAACCAATTGCAGAATGTTATGTTGCTGTGCGACTATTGCTATTAGTATTACAACCAAAATGGCTTACTGAAAGGTATGTTAATAACAGCCAGTTTATTTGAATAAAATAACTGGACATTCCAAAACCAATTTAAAAAAAAAACTCTGCCTCTGGAAACATAGCGAAATTTATGGATAATAAATTTAATGGAATGCTTCAGAATTTTTTGACTGACAACAATATTGAATATTCATTTTTAATTACGTTTTTTAAAAGCTTTATTAATTTATAATTAGGACATTTTTTAATAACATCGAGAGCTTTTCCTTGTTTTAACAAGAATGAGAACGATTTAATATATATAGGGCCTATACTTGTGTATAATGGTTTTTACATTTTAATTTTATCATTAATTGAAGAGGATTTTTAACTACTAGTTTTTTTTCAAACGTAAAATCTGTAACACAATAATTGGGTTTTCAGATCTTCATATCAAAATGAACCAATATATGAACTTTATAATATGGTTCTTTCTCATTTGGATGCATGGGCGCCCGCAGAAAACTGTCTATGGGGGGGGGGGGGGAAAAAAATCGATTAACTTTCCGGGGGGGGGGGCGAAATTTTTTTAGGCAAAAAAAATCGATTAACTTTCCGGGGGGGGGGCAAACATTTTTTTAGTAATGTTTTAATATAGTTTTAATTTACTGTAGCGTATTTGTATGGTGAACGAACGGACAGGACATCAGCTTAGTTACTTTCTCTTTATTTTCTCTTTACTTTAATAAATTTTTGTCTAAAAATTTTGTATCCAATCAATCGGGGGGGGGAGGGGGGAGTGCCCCCCTGCCCCTACATGCTGGCGCCCATGTTTGGGTGAGTGAATTAGTGAGTGATATTTTGGCAATTATTGAGTTTCACTGCATTAATTTGCTTAAGGAGCATTTCTTATTAAAAGTATTTTTAAACGTTAAGTTTTTGAAATTAATTTATAAATTTTTGGAACGAAAAATAAGTAAAACTTATTAAATATTAAAAATGCGAAGATAAAATTTTGTGTGGTTTATTTTTAAAAAGGGAAAATACATTATCAGTTTTGTCACAGTCACAGACGATTATTACATCAATGAAAATAAAAGCGTTTGATGTGCAAGTCAAAATATATCTCTTATAAAATCTATCTAATTTTAGTTTCATCGAAAAAATTTAATTTTCTATTGTTTGAGGAATTTCGTTTACCGGTTACATAAATGTAAAATTAATGTCGCAATATTAACAACAAATAAAAACAACAGCTGTTTGGGTTTTCCCGATAAATCTTAAATTAAAAATTCGGATAAAATAATTAAAACAATTCATTAATTGTTATATTTTTAAATAATTTTTTCAAATGTATCATAATAATAATATTTAAATATGTACTTAATATATAGAGATATATTTTATGTTATCATATTTTTTATTATTGATTCGATTTCCATAAAATAATTCGGAAAACCCTATCATTGTTTTTTAAGTTTAAGACAAAGACATTTAATATAAATCGATTCGTTTTTAAGCGGTTTATGGTCAGCGTAGCACATTCTTATAATATATTATTTTATGCAGCTGTAATGTAGTCAAAATTTAATAACAAGTAAAAATTTAATAACAATTGACAAACGACCCCCCCCCCCAAAAAAAAAAACAACAAAAAAACAAAAACAAAACAAACGAATCTCATCACTGCATATATAATTATTATTTTATGAAGCTGTAATGTAGTAAAAATTTAATAACAAGTAAAAATTTAAAAACAATTGACAAACAACCCCCCCCCCCAAAAAAAAAAACAACAAAAAAACAAAAACAAAACAAACGAATCTCATCACTGCATATATAATTTTTACAATTTAAAATGAAAATTCAAATAAGAAAGAATGTTGGATTTTATACACGAAACCCCTATAACATTATTGAAATTCTGTATTGATCCCTAACACTAATAGTTTGTCAGGCGACTACCGAGGGGGGTCTCGAGTCTTGACCCATAGGTTAAGAGCCATTGCCATATCACCCGTAAGCAAATAAAAAATCAAACATAGAGCGGAACTTCGATGTATGCATTAGTGTAGCTGGTCGCTGGTTGGTAAAAGTTTTCAACTTATGCATAAATTTTGATAAATATTTATATCATCATGGTGACACCAGGGTATGGGTGAAGTTGTTCCCCTGTGGCTGGGGTTTCAAGTGATACAATTTCTGAGCACCCAGGATTGAACGGGTGAATTATGTGCTGTTAAGCCCACTGACTTAAAAGGGGGCGCTCTAAGACTGGAATCTTTGATCCCATTATCGCGATCGCCTTGAAAGTTTAATTCTAAGTTTAAGAAGAATTGAAAAGGCTGCATCAAATTAACCACGAAGAAATCATTTAAAATATATATATATTCCAAGTAGCAATAATCATCGTTCATTGTCAGATTCTTGTACAAAAAGTTTAAAATAAGCTATGGCTAAGGTTAGGGTTAGGTTATGGTTAAGGTTAGAGTTAAGGTTATGGTTAAAGTTGGGGTAAGGGTTATGATTAAGGTAACAAAAAACTTTGAAAGCAGAAGAACTTTTTATTTAGCAATAATTTAAAGCACAAGCGTCATCTACATCACCAGATTGCTGAGCTTTAACACAAGAGGAGAAGAAACCGCCACCCCCCACCCCAACCCCCCCCCCCCCAAAAAAAAAAAGCAAGAAGATTAGTGACGAAAGAGCACGATGGGTAACGAACTGGAACGAGCGGCTCGTGAAGCTGCCGACGAGCTGGCGAGTCAAATTCCTTTCATGGGAGGTGGGCTTGAAGGGCTTTCCAAACTTAGAGAAATGCAGGAACAGTTAATGCGTGGTGAAGGCGGCAAGCAGGCGTCAATAGAACAACAGAAAACAATGGCTAAACAGCAAAGACATTTGTTTCAAAATATGGTCAATACACTTACGCAAAACACGCTGGTCACCGATGAAGACCTGTATCAGAAATTCATGGAGGATCTCAAATCCGTCAATGACGTCATTCCTAGTGTTGACTCTACGCCGCTCATGATGGCCGCGGCCATCGGTCGCAAGGAGCTGGTGAAACGACTTCTCGACTTTGGGGCGAACGTTGATGCCAGTAACCGCTTGAAGCTAACCGCTTTACATCTGGCCACGATGGGAGGCAGCGAAGAAGTTGTCCAGATCCTGGCCGAAGCAAAAGCCGATATCAACGCACAAAACTGCAAAGGTTCTACAGCTCTTCATAATGCCATTATGTTTCAAAATTATGGCTTAGTCCGAGACCTCATCGAATACGGGGCAGATATCAATATCAAAGATAATGACGGGGACAGTGCTCTCATGTTAGCTGCCGTTGGGGGGGACACTGGCATCGTCAAGGTATTGATAAGAAATGGAGCTGATGTAAACACCAAAGATATTCGTCAATGGACACCACTGATGGCTTGTGTCCAGAATGACTACGATGAGACCGCAGAAGCCCTTATTGAATGTGGTGCTGATGTGAATGCCGAACAGATAAGTGGCGGAACTGCCCTGGACATCGCTGCCACTCATGGGAGTGTGAACACGCTGAAGGTTTTACTAAAGAGCGGAGCGGAAGTTAACCACGCTGATAAAAACAGACACACGCCATTGCTGGTAGCCGCATCACAAGGGAAACTACTCACAGTGCAGAAACTGATCAAATATGGAGCGGCTGTAAACCTAGCAGGCACAGACGGGCGAACTCCATTGTTTGTCAGTGCCCTAGAAGGAAATTCTGCTATTGTTGAATGTCTTCTGAAAGCAAAGGCTGACCCCAATAGCACAGACAAAGATGGAGACACGCCCTTGATGTGCGCGGCCCAAAATGGCCATGCCGATGTGGTTGAACAGTTGCTGGCAGCCGGTGCTAACGACTTGCAGGTTAGCTTAAACAACAACACAGCCTTGACCTTTGCAGTGATGCACGGCCGAAAACGAATTGTCCAAATACTTTTGTCCAAACACGAGAAACCATATCCAAGAATTAACAGGAGAGGAAGACATGGCATTGGACTGTTGCATTTGGCAGCCGTTACAGGAACTGACGATGTATTGAATCAACTGATTGAGGCTGGAGCTGTTGTGAATTTACCTGGGCCAGGAGGTCTAACTGCCCTGTGCACAAGCACGTTCTACGGAAACGTTGATGTTTCCTTGAATTTGATTGACAGGGGGATCGACGTCAATCTTTGTGACAATGAAGGGGACACGCCTTTACATATGGCAGCGATGAAAGGAGACATTACCATTGTTAAGGCTTTAGTTGATAAAGGTGCAGTGGTAGATGGTGGTAATGTCAAAGGTCGGACGCCATTGATGCATGCTTCTAACAATGGCCACACCGAGGTGGTTGAATATCTTTTACGCCATGGTGCGAATATCGACGCAGTGGAGATCAAGGGCTGGAATGCCTTGATGTATGCATCTCAGTCAGGACACACCAACACGGCCATCGCCCTTCTTAACCACGGGCTTTCAGTTGATACCAGGACAAGGGCCGGAGTCACCGCCTTGGGGATAAGTGCTGGACATGGCCATATTGACATCGTGGAAGCTTTAATCGAGCGCCGTGCTTCTGTCAACCAGAAAGACAAAGATGGCGGCACTCCTCTCTTGACAGCCTCTTTTAGAGGGCATGCCAGAAACGTTCACATTCTGTTAACAAACAAAGCTTTGGTGAACAGTGAGAATTGCAAAGGACACTCCGCTCTCCACGTGAGTATACATGAGGGGCATGCCGAGGTCGTTGACCTGTTACTACAAGCAAATGCAGACGTCAATAAACCGGATGCGGACGGGGATTTCCCGCTTCACATGGCTGCCTTGAAAGGCAACTATCTCATCACCAGAGCTCTCATCCGCAGTGGAGCTCAGACTTCTGTTGTCAACAAAAAGAAGATGACGGTCTTGATGATGGCTGCCTACAGCGGGGATTCCCAAACTGTCCATCTTTTAATTGACAATGGAGCCAACGTAGATCAGTGTGGAGATGCTGGCTGGACACCTCTCATGCAGTGTACACAGTTTGGCAAAACAGAGTGCATGAAATTATTGCTGGAGAAAGGGGCCAGTACAAATGCAAGTAATAACAAGGGAAATTCTGCCATTCATATCTGCTCAGCTAACGGTCATAAAGATGCCGTGCGATTACTCTTAGAATTTAACGCAGATGCCAAAATACAGAACAATGTGGGCCTTACACCTTTAATGTTGAGCTCCAACAACGGGTACACAGAGATTGTGTTGTATCTTCTCCAAGATGATGGAGTTAAAAATACATTAGAGCTCAGAGAACACGAGAAAGGAGACACTGCTCTCATCATCGCAGCAAGAAGAGGTCGAACAGAAATAGTAAAAAATCTCATCAAGGCCAAGTGTGATGTGAATGCCACGAACAAAAATGGGGACACAGCCCTAAATATCAGTGCATCTTTGGGACATAAGAGCATTGTGGATGATCTACTGGAAGCAAAGGCGGATATTGAGAAGGCCAACTCTAACGGTGACACGCCGCTGTTGTCTGCTTCTACCTTAGGACATCACCTGGTCATTCAAACACTGTTAAAATCTAGGTCAGATATTAATAGAAAGGATAAGAACGGGAAGACAGCCCTTGTTTTGAGTGCAGAAAATGGACATCGCCAGGCTGTGAGGACTCTTCTAGAGGTCAAGGACGCTCACAGCAATGAAGTTATACAACAAGCCATGGCTGCAGCCTTTCAACGCAGACATTCAGATATCGTCGAGATGATTGAAAAACAGACTGGACAAAAACTGGATACAGGTAGGACAACTCTTCATGCTGTAATAGTAATAGAGTATTTCATGTTAAAGGGAGGCCAAAACCATATCACATTTTGTTGTTTTTCTTGTTTCTGGTAGAATCTTCTTTCGATATTTATTTTAAAAAGCAAGTGAGTCTAGAAGCGATTTGCTCATTCTTTGTTTTTATTTGTATGAAACATTTTTTTGTTAAAATCCTAACTTTAAGTAATACGTAGATTAAAAGCTGACCTAAAGGTACACCGTCATACAAAAACGGTTTAATTGTTATATCTATTTCAGAGAGTTTGTCCATAACCAAAGAGCTAAAATCCATACCATTGAAGCTATCGGGATCCAGTTTGTTTGAGAGTGTCCTCAAAACACCAAAGTAAGAACAACCCTGTATTGTATGCATGTCCTCAAAACACCAAAGTAAGAACAACCCTGTATTGTATGCATGTCCTCAAAACACCAAAGTAAGAACAACCCTGTATTGTATGCATGTCCTCAAAACACCAAAGAACAACCCTGTATTGTATGCATGTCCTCAAAACACCAAAGAACAACCCTGTATTGTATGCATCGGCGGTGGCCAATAGCCTTTTTAATAAAATATATATTTTAGCCACACATGCAGCAACTTTAATGGTTACATTTTCTATTCAAATTACTGTAGGCCCTTGGCGTTATAACTGGAATGAAAATATAATGGTGAGGGTATGACCATATAAAATGTAGAATCCCTGTATTTTGAAAGCTGTGTTAGCCAATTGATACTATTTAAAAATTCATACCAAAATTCAAATCAATTTAATGGCAATAGTCTGGGAAGCCGTCACGGTGGCAGAAGCTTCATTTTTTAAAGTAATTCTATACAGTAAATGATTAAAAAATGAAAGCTGTTCGAGTCCCACACAAATAGCATACCAAGGAAGTTGGGTCCCGATCCAGACAAGTGATTCTTGGTGATTCGCCGTTCAAGAGCATCGCTCAGCGACGATTTATTGCAGTTCTAAGATTTGATTGGCACACTTTTTTTTTTAAATTTGCCCACTGACTAACGTGTTGCCCATTGTGGGTATATGTAATACCGGTAACAGAATTGTGGGTAATTATAGTAACAGAATTGTGGGTATATATAACAGAACAGGAAGAATACTATTTTAAAAATATTTAAATTCATTGCATCTCTTTAAAAAAAATATATATATATATAAAAAAAAAACTTTTCAAAAGGAAGAAAAACTAAAAACCTTACAGTTACAATGGCCTTACACTTACAATGGCCTTACAGTTACAATGGCCTTACAGTTACAATGGCCTTACACTTACAATGGCCTTACAGTTACAATGGCCTTACAGTTACAATGGCCTTACACTTACAATGGCCTTACAGTTACAATGGCCTTACACTTACAATGGCCTGGTATTGTTTTGTTTGTTTTTTTGGAATGAGACAATTAATTAAGGAATTAAACTTTTCATACACTGTACAGTTTGATAACGAGAATTGAAGCCAAACAGAAATGGTTCATTTGGCAGAATATAGAGCATATTTTGACCCTTAAAAAAAGGGGGGGGGGCGGTGAGGGTATTTTAAGCTATCCACTAACACATCATCAAGTAGAGTCTTAATTTATATATATCAAATAGCCGCTTGATACATCTGAATAGTTCTGTTTATGTTACAGCAGACTTTGTGATGATCCCAACTCCAATGAACGAATAGAGCGAAGAATTGGACACAGGTCCATCAGGGAGTTTAGCACGATGGAAGTAGACCAGGGCATGGACAGTCCTACACCTGGAAACATTACAAACATGTAAATATTTATATTTGTGTATATATATATATATATATATATATTTATTTAAAAAATTATATATATATATATATATATATATAATATTCATATAGAGTATTTGTTTATATATTTTTTCCTATCCAGTATATATATTCACAAACAGAGTATATATACTAATGCAGACTGTTTGTTGTTGTGTTACTTATTCTGAAGTAGTTCTGTCCACAAATGATTGGAATATTTGATCAACCATTGGTGAAAACTTACGCTTCTTAAAATGTATAAAGAGAAGAAAAAAAAATTTGTGTAATTGACATTCGTTTTTTGTAGAACAGCTTCCTGTCAACTTGCTTTCTTTCTAACCATTTCATAACTAATCACCTCTACTTTTGTTAATTAAAAAAAAACGTGAGTTCTAAAATAGCTCAAAAGTTGGTAAGTTGAAGAACGTTAACTCATCATTTTTAAAAAATAAAAAATTTTTACCAATAAAGTAAAAAGGAATTACTTCACGCATAATAAATGACAGGTCAAGAGAAATCCACAGACAAAGACAATTTTCATAAGATCAACGGCAATAAATTAGAAATGACAAAAAGCTTTTTAAAAAAAATGATAATTAACATCACATTCCAAACATTATGTGTTAGATCAACACTGTTGATAATAACATCTCTTTTTAATAGCGTCGAGTTTTCCTTATTTGGCCAAAAGTTATTTCTCTTTTGTTACAAGTTTAAAAAAAAAAAAAATAATACAATACAAATTGTTGAATGGAGCATGTTATTTTTTCCCCCCAGACACTACCACATTGATCAAGCTGAAAATGTCATTATAGGAGATAGTTCAATGATAAGAAGCAAGTAGAGGCGAACTGGAATGAAGCTGGCTCCATTACCTGAGGATGCAGAAGAGTTTTAATGGCTCAGATTTGTTAGAGGATTATAAAATATAATGAGCCACCAAATCATTTTGAACCAATTAAAATTCCTGAAACGACACATCCAAATGTATATGAAAGTACCAGTATAGTCTGTGACACAAATATGCTCTTTTGGTCAGGTTAAAAAAACTATTTAGGTGGAAATTTGACTCAAGGTTGCCAATCCATCCGTAAAAAGTTTGCCTAAAATGATTTGCCCGTAAAAGTCTGTAAGACCTTTTAGATGTCCGTGAAAAATAAAAAAAAGTTTCTCAAGGCTTTAGAAAGGAAAGAAAACGGGACGTCTCAGCCTTTGCTTTTTTTTATTTTAAAAAATGACATTATTAGTTTCATTTTTAATGATAATATTTTTAATGACATTATTAGTTTCATTTTTAATGATAATATTTTTTAATGACATTATTAGTTTCATTTTTAATGATAATATTTTTTAATGACATTATTAGTATCATTTTTAATGATAATATTTTTTAATGACATTATTAGTATCATTTTTAATGATAATATTTTTTAATGACATTATTAGTTTCATTTTTAATGATAATATTTTTAATGACATTATTAGTTTCATTTTTAATGATAATATTTTTTAATGACATTATTAGTTTCATTTTTAATGATAATATTTTTTAATGACATTATTAGTTTCATTTTTAATGATAATATTTTTTAATGACATTATTAGTTTTATTTTTAATGATAATATTTTTAATTACATTATTCTTTTTTAATCACATTATCTTTTTTTTAATGACAGTTTCTTTATTGACTAATTGAAATATAATATCAATTTAAACTAAACTAATTAAAATAATAATCGAAGGTATTTGTTGAAATATTATATTTTAAAACTTAAACGGACTTCTTTGTAATGACTAACTACTTAAAAATAATTAAAATTAAAACATAGTTGAAAAACTACCGAATTTTATTATCAACACATAGGGTTGACCAAAAATAAAGTACGACAGTTGTGAAATATAAGGTTTAATTATTGTTGTAACTGGCTTGTAATGTTGCAGTTATATGCTTAACAATGTCAATAATCAGATATTATGTTCATTGGACATCCTTAGTTTTCAACATCTTTTTTCTTCTTACATTGCTTATGTCCATGAAAGGTTGCGAAAGTTTTCTCTATTCCTTTAATCGCCAACTTCAGCTCATCAACAGTGGTGAATTTTCTTTCATACCAGCTGTCATAAATTATTATGGTTACATTTAAAAAATGCTATAAATGTAACTTAAATGTAACTTAAATGTATGCTAAGTATATTTTTTTGCCAGCAGTGGATGTTTGTATCGAAAAAAATGTAAAAGAAAAATTTATTCGATATTTTTGAATTACATTTTTTTTAAAACCATTTTTGTTTTGTACTGCACAAGGTTGTTAAAGGCAGTTTACAAAGAGGTGCACCGAATGCTTTATTTTGGCTCCTTCAATGGATGCCTGGGATCAACTTTCGTCTTTTCAATTTATGCCCAGGATCAATTTTAGCCCTAGCAATGGATATTCAGGATCAATTTTGGGCCTTGCAATGGACGCCCCGGATCAAATAGGACCTTCCATTTCCACTCGTAATAAAAAATTGGACCCTTTTCCCTGAGGACAATAATATTAACCATTAAAAACATTGTTTGTGATGATTCATGTTAGTATGCTCTTCACCACACCCTTCTCAAGCCCACCAAAATATCGTTGCCCTCTCCTAATGCCATGACTATTTGCCCTGACATTTCCACCATCAGCAAACAACCCCCCCCCCTAATTAAAAAAACAAAACAAATCTCTACCCCCTCAGTCATTAGGCCTCCTACTCCAGGACCATATTTCTACATTACCAAGAAAATACAATTTAACATTTCTTTCTCTACAATATTAGTCCACAAAGGAACAATTACTTGATACAAAAGTTTGCTCAAGGTAATCTGTAATGAAATAAATGAATCATGACTTATTTGTCAACTCAAAAATGTTGGTCCACTTCATAAGAAATAATAACATGTTTATTTATGATGATGATCATCATCATGTCCCTTATTCCTTGGACCGTTAAGGCGCCACAGATGACATGTGAAGTATCCTCCTCCACTCGTCTCTGCACAACGCACAGCATCACCCAGTGGTAGTCCTCTCCACTCTTTGATGTTATCCTCCCATCTTTTTCTTTGTCTTCCTCTTCTTCTCCCACCTCTTGTGGTGTCCTGCAATATTTCGTTGGCAAGCCCTTGTTTCCTTGTTACGTGGCCGTACCATTGCAGTTTGCATTTTTTCACAGTCACCAGTAGGTCATCGTACTCCCCAATTGCCTGGCGAACCCTTTCTTTCACTGTATCATTGCAGATATGGTCCTATAGCAGATGCCAAAATGCTTCTGAAGCATCTCATCTCCATCGCCTTTATTTTCCGTTCAAGATCGGCTGTTTATGTCCAGGATTCGCAGGCATACAGGAAAATGGTGAGGACTAATGAGCGCATCAGCCTGATTTTGGTGCTGGGGCTATATTTTTGTCATTCCATATTATCTTGAGCCTCTTTAGTGCTGTTGTAGTCTGCGCAATCCTGGACATCAGTTCGGGCTTGAAGCCTTCTTCTGAGACTATTGCTCCTAGGTATTTGAAGCGGCCTACAGTCTCTAGTCTTTCCTCCCCGACCTTAATTTCATTGGTGATGCCTGTGGTGTTATTTGTCATCAGTTTTGTCTTTTCGGCACTGATTAGCATGACGTAGGACGACGAGGTCTTATCGAGACGCTCTTATACCAGGTCGGCTAGCTCTTCTTCGTTCCCAGCCAGCACGTCTATGCCATCCGCAAAGCGTAGGTTGGTGATTGTTCAGCCACCAATGCCGACTGTCTCTTGATGCGCTTCAAGAGCATCTGACATAATTCGTTCTAGGAAGATGTTGAACAGGGTGGTGGAGAGCAGGCAGCCTTGTCGTACTCCAACCGTGGTCTTGAACCATTCTCCAATGTTGTTGTTGACGAAGACTGCACTGGTGGCCTTATCATACATAATCATTCTGCTCACTTTTACTGTAGTCTGAATGGATAGCCAAAGAAATGTGCTAGATCATACATTCATGATCATGAGCTCATCATTTCACTTTTAAAATCAACTGTTTCCCTAGACATAATGTGATTAATGTTATCTGTGATTATTTTATTATTAGTCCTACATTTTAAATTATGGAGATGGACTATCAGTGCCCCGGGGAATTTATTTATTTTATTCTTTTTGCGGCTGTATGTGTTTGTTTGTTTGTTTGTTTGTTTTTTTTTTGTTTTTTTTTTTGGGGGGGGGGTTGTCAGTCCATCAGTCTAAGCTGTAGAGCTTAGTTGGATAATAATAAATGGCCTACTTTGGACAGACAAGGCTACTGTTGATACTACTATTGGTCAATGTTGATAGAATTAGAATCGTACATGGTAACTCAAAGTGGCGTGTTGAAGTAACATTAGCCTTTATTTATTATTTATTTAAAGTACGCTCTGCATTCATGTTATGCCCTATAGATGCACATATAGGGGCCTTTCTTCACAGTGCATCAACAAGTACTAAAGTACGCTCTGTATACATGTTATGCCCTATAGATGCATATAGGGGCCTTTCTTCACAGTGCATCAACAAGTCCTAAAGTACGCTCTACATATACATGTTATGCAAAGATGCATATAGGGGCCTTTCTTCACAGTGCATCAACAAGTCCTAAAGTATGCTCTGCATTCATGTTATGCACTGGAGCTGACGATGCAGCCTTGAGAATTTTTTGAGTGGGCTCGGAAAGATCTCCAAATAAATACCTTACAAGTTGGTTACCTAGTTTTAGGCTAAGTCCTGTGTCTAAGGCCTGTATTGTTTTTAAAAGAAGATCCACATCTTTGAGAGGCAGATTTCTTAGTGAGGCTAAAGTGGAGTTGTCATCAGATAAAAGCTTATCAAATACATCCTTTTTAGATGCCATTGCAAGCTTATGAGTTCATGCTTTTGGTGAAAACTCCATCTTTTACCTGTAAAAAAATTATTAAAACCACTTTGAAAAAATGCAAAAGACATCAATATAAGTTATAAGTGCTAAGTATGTCGACAGAAAAGCTGTTGTCACGAAGAATATTTTTTTCTAATGGATAATTAGTTTACCAGATCTAGATTGGATCTACTCCTTTCATTGTTGTAGATTAACACCATCCATGGCCCGGTCAGCAAGTTCAAAAAGAGGCCAACATGGGCGTTCTTCAGGTCTTGGCCTAAGTGAATAAGTGCATCCACATTTTTACTCAAAATAATCAAACAACTTGTCTTTTAAATAAAAAATTGTGCAGACGTGTTAAACATTACATGTAGTTGATTGCCATCATATCGAAGAATAGTCCCAGGTTTCAAGCCTTCTTTCTTTAAAAATCCCAAGAAGCCTCCATCGGGTCACCTTATCCGTGTTTATACCTTGAGACAAAACTATTAGCAAATAACTAACTAATTACACACATTTAATGCAGCTTAAAATGTTAAAACATACCGGTACTGTTTACATTTAAAATTACTTAACTCACCTCATTTTTGAAATGCAGTGAATCAAGTTAACAACAATGCCGCCATTCTGCTTATAGCCTGAGCTCTTCATCTTCCACTCAGTTTCCAGCTTTTGAAGACTTCTCTGGCAGCATGGGCCAGGCCATCAAGGGATGTAGGTTACAGTTAAGCTTATACACTGTGTTTTTAGAGCGTGCTCCAAGCGCTAAACTACACAATGGTTGACTTTTGCCCTGTCTGACATTGTACTTTTAATTGACGTATCTATTTTTTAACGTCTAACTCTCGTAAACCATATGCACAAGAATATATTTTTATTATATCAAAGAGTGACTGGTATATTATTATGTGTTCAACATAATCTTCTGTACATCCACCCGGTAAAAGTCCTATATGCTTGGTTAATGCATGGTATTTTTTAATGTGCGCTCCATTCAGTGAAGTGACATCCGAAACAGAGTGATAGGGCTTGAATGGTGCAAAAAGTAGCTAGCCTGAATATCAGCCAAAATACCAATTTCATAATATGCCATTTGGGCAACAACAGTTTTCTCTGGCTTTGAGCTTATGTTTTTTTCCAAAAAGCTCTTTTTCAACAAAACTGATAAGAGGTGTGCAATACTGGATGGCCACATGATAAAGTTAACATTGGCAAGTGCCTTATCTCATGTGAAAATTATAGGACTTTCCATCTGCTTTGACATCCACTTCCCCACGCTCATTTCTTTCATCTATTATTATTTCCTGAAATTCCTGATACGATTTGGCTTTGTATTCCAAATCTTTAAA